TACAAGTCTACCGCTCTTAACCACTACACCACACTGCAAAGGGATGTCTGTGGAGGGATGATTGGGAACCTTCTGGGACTGAGAAATTAACTGAGTGCCTGGGTGTATCGGCAGCATGGCTTGCATTCAGTTCTAAATTCAAACACAGTCCACTGCAGACCACACTTGAAAAGAAACGATCAGGACCCACCATATTATGCCTGTGCAGAAACTCTCAGTCCATCCTAGGTGCTTCAGACAAGCTGTTTGTTAATGAAAATTCATCCTGATTAGATGGCACTGTCTATAATGGGCATACATTCTGAGCGGGGAGGTTAGATGATGTTGTGTCAAAGCAAGTGTCCTACCACACTTTCTAGGGTGCTTTTATTATCCCAAAAAGTCAGATCTTTAGAGGAAGTGAGTCAGCTGAACAAGACCTTCCCAATCAACTATAATTGCATGATCTGAATCTGCCAGTATGTGGTTGAATCCCACCAGAAAACAGAGACAGTGTGGAAACACCTTTAGTTAAGCATCAAATGGAAAGTTGTTCTTCAACGAGAGAGGAATGGTTGCAACACCTTGTGAGTTGTACCTTTCTACATCATTAACTGACTTTCAGGAGGAAACCTTCGGGTCCCTTCCAACTCTACAATTCTATGATTTTATAAAGAGTGAGATAGAAAGGTTATTTGTTGATTGGCTAAAATTTTTCCCTTATAAGCAGCATGACACAGCAGTCTGGTGTTCAGAGATTGGTGTGTGGAGTTTGAATTGTGTCTGTATATAGAAGTAACTTGTACAAAGCTGCGCTATACTCTGTTTATTATAAAAGCAAATGCAAATCAAGTTACTGTTCAGCAAGTTATGTTCCTGAGTCGTCCTGGCTACACTGACTAAGCAGCATGGTAGCAGAGAGTTTTGGTTGAGATCCATCAACATTTACAACTCTGTGGCTTTGATTAGACAACTTAAACAGTATTACCCTAGGTGTATCAATGCAGAAACAAGTACAGTCATATCTCGGGTTAAAGTCGCTTCGGGATGAATATTTTTGGGTTGCGCTCCGTGGCGACCCCGAAGTAACGGAGTGCATTACTTCCAGGTTTCGCCACTTGCGCATGCGCAGACGCTCAAAATGACATCACGCACACGCGCGGAACTGATGAAATGTGACCCGCGCACGCACAGATGCACAGTCGCGTGTTACATTCGCTTCAGGATGTGAACGGGGCTCCGGAATGGATCCCGTTCGCATCCAGAGGTACCACTGTACATCAGAAAGAGAGAGCATTCCTTGTCTCAAGCATCTCTTTCCAGCTGCCAGATCACTGTTTGGATCCTACCACTTGAGGGAAGAAGTGAGCACGCACACCAGCCACTCTGCTTTTTAGCACTGACTCATCCCTGCAAGAAAGTCTGAGCTGAAATGAATATATATATGCAGTTCCCTCTTGTGAGCTAGTGAGCTGGTAAGCCTGAGCTTTGCTTTGCAGACTATTGGCAGGTAAACTGAGCTTTAAAAATAACTCCTTGAAGGGCCTCTGCAGCAAACAGCCCAGCCCTTTCTCTCCTACCACAAAGACCACCGTCATGAGACCACGGAAAAGGTGTGCCTATAGCCAGCTAGAAAAGCACAAAGAGTGCCTGAGAGGATCAGCAGCAACAATCATGGTTTGCTTTCAAATACTTTTTATAAAAGGAAACAAACATGCAGCTTGTGTTGAGAGCGTTCTTTGTAGCCAATCTTTTCCCATAACTGATACTGTACTGGATTTCCTCAGAGTCATGGCAACATGTATTTTTCATTCTCTCTGACATACTATTCATTCAAAGCACATCCCCCCCCCCACGCAAAGAATTCTGAGCACTCTAGTTTGTTAAGAGTTGCTGGGAATTGTAACTCTGTGAGGAGTACAGTGCCCAAAATTCTTTGAGGGAAAGAATGTGTTTTAAAGGTATAGTATGTACACACAACCTATGTCTTATCTCCAAACCATGAACAATTGTTCAATCCCCAAAGCATTTCTTTGGTTACTGTGGTTAACAACTTGTCTCTATTGACTAAATGTTCAGGATGTTATTTTATTTTTATTTAGGTTACTGATTTGATTGTGCAGAGTGTTTTGACTCAACAGCAGAGAAAAACCTTGAGAAAATGTTTGCCAAGACATCTTTGAGAGTTACAGATTTCTCTTCACTATTATTTCCAAAGTCCTACCTAGGGCACTGCATATAATACAACCTTTCTCAACTGATTCAACATCACATCTTTTACATTCTCTGTTTCACGGGTCTACCCAATCTGAACCCAATAGCCACGGTGCTTTATTGTCCCCCACAGAGTTGGTTGTGGATATGTGGGGACTGCAAACCAGTCTTGCTTTGTAGCACCTTCTCCCCGCACAACAACATCAGAGCACCCCTGCTGGATCCTGCCAAACTCCAGCTAGTCTACCATGCTTTTCCCCACAGCAGTCAGCTAGATTCTTGTAGGAGACTCACAAGCAAGGCTTCTACACAGTAGCCCTTTCTTGCAGTTGTTTTCCAGCATTTGGTGTTTCTGTCTTTGAAGGTTCCTTATAGCTACAGTGTCCAAGAACCATACATCCTAGATCGCCAATGTGATGCCTTCCAAATGTTGTTGGGTCCCAGCTCCCATCAGGTCCAGTTAGCATAGCCAATAGTCAGGGATGATGGGAACTGGAGCCCAACAACATGTAGAGGGCACTACAGTGGATACACCCTGTCAGAGGTGTACCATACATTTAAAGCATATTTAAAGCACATGGCTTCCACCAAAGGATATTGGGAACTGAAGTTTTTTAAGGGCAACTGGAACTCACTGGAACTCAGTTCCAGCACCTCTCAAATGAGCGCCATTGCCATTATAAGAGAACCAGGGAGGTATTCATGGTGAGTTCTAGGACCCCCTTTTCTAGAAAAATAGCACTGTTAAGGGTGCTTTGAATCATAGCTCTGTCCAGGGTAAACTACACTTCCCAGAATTCTTTGGGGGAAGTCATGTGCTTTAAATGTATGGTGTGGATATCACTTAAGCTAATGGCCATCACCACCTCTTCTAAAAGTGCATTGCGCAGATGCTAGTGCTAACAATTGTCCTATATCCTACGTGACAGATACAGTGAACTATTAATCTATTAATCTTCAAGGGTAATGTAGAATTGTGCAGTGACATCTGGAGCCAGAGAAGCTTAGAATTATAGAATTGTAGAGTTGGAAGGGACCATGAAGGTAATTTACTGGAAAAAATGTTGCTATGGTATTATCTAATCTAATGCCTTGTTTTAAAACTATGTTATGTTGGGCTGTTGCTTTTTTACCTTTGTTATTTTCCTTGGCATCTTGACCATGAACTATGTAAAACTTTTCTGTAGCAGGGATGCACTAAAACCAGATAGAGTTCATCATAACACCACACTAAGTGATCATTAGAGTTTGAGGTTCTTTTTACAAGCACATTAAAACAGCAGCCTAGGGGTTGTTTTGAAGCACATGTTTAGAAGGCCTGGGTGAACAAAAAGGTATTCTCTTAGTGCCTGAAATATGCATGTGAGATGTGCACTGCTAATGCTTTCTGCTTCCAGGGATATGAATCCATATCTGGCCACATGGAAACCCACCAAACGATTGACACCAATTCAGGGGTAACATCAGAGGCCGAGTCTGCAATATGGCATTTCTAACTTGAAGCTTGTGTATCTCGCCATGAATGGAGACTTGAAGAGCTTCAACCATAGGCCTCATGAAGGTGTCCCTGCTATTTTAGGAGAGGCAGGTGGCCTTTTCATTGGTGGCACCACAAATGCAGAATGCTCTCCCTTTATCTGCTGCTTACGTCATACACTTATCTGTCCCAGGTGACGACCTTTTTATTTTCCTGAGCTTTTCAGGTGTCATTTCAATCCTGCTAACTGCTTTTTAAATTGTGCAGCTTTCGTTCAATTTACAGTGCTTTTTTTTTTGCAAATTGTTCCAGGAATGTTACTGATGGGTGTTATAGAAATACTTTAAATAAATAAGCAGTGAGTTACCACACTCTTCACAATCTAGAAACCGAAATGGATTTTTAAAGTATATACTCAGCCAGCCAAATATCACACTGGACTCAGCTAGACTGGTAAAGAAAAAGCGATTTATATGTGTTGCACGTGTGATATAACTTTGTGCCACCAAATGACAACATGGAGTCCCATTTTTCTCTACCTGTTTTCCCTGTTTAAATTTACAATGGCTTTAAACTGAAATGTTTCTTTGATGTGTCTAGATCCAGCCACTGATTATTATTTTTCTAAACCATCTTACAGTCCAGGTGTCAAAACAACCTTATAAATGTCTCTCAACCACACTGCAGCTGCCCCCCACCAGTCCATTTCCTGAGCAGAAAGAGTGTGCTATAGACGGGAGCATTTGCAGGAAAGTGGGGTCTGTGGTCTTCTCAGTGGCTCTGAACCCAGGAAGCTTGTTTTGCTCAGTGTTGCTCAAGCCTGTCATTAGAGTGCACAGCACCTGCACACCTTGCTAGGCTGTTTGCTCACCAAAAGAGGTGCCACACATAAAGCTCCCATTCTGTGTGCCAACCCCTTCACTTTGCAGAAATTCTAGTGTTCCTAAGATCTGTGAGCTCCAGCACCGGCCCAGGATGTTTTGCCACCTGAGGCCAAATGCCCTGCCTCCTGCTTCTTCCACCATCACCAGGCAGCCTCCAGCACTGCAAAGGAACAGGCAGGACAGGCCTGGCCCACAGTGATCCTTTCAGCCGCTGATGCAGGAGGAAGGGGAACGAAAAGGAGAAAGTCTCCTTCCCCCCCCCTCCCCAATTGCTGCTGCATCCATGCTCCCCTTGTTGACACGGGAGGGGAACAAAGAGTTGGCAGGCAATGCAAGCAGGGCAATGCAAGCCCCTTGTAAGCATTATAAAATGCTATGATTTATTTGTTTACCATTTTAAAAAGGATAAATCATTCTCTTTCCTCATAAATGCATTTATTTAGTTATGAAAAGACTGATGACTTCACCCATTACACCAAAACCTGTTCCTACAAATCTTACATTAACCCAGTGTTTGAATAATGGTCGTCATGTATGGGCAGAAACTTTAATCAGTCCATACATTTCCGTGCTTGCCCAGCTATGTCGTTTGTGCCTCCCCCAAGTAAACAGTTCTGCAAGCTTTCCAAGAATCACCGTCGCTCATTCTTTTAACTGGTATTCCAGTTACCATAGTATTTGCCAGAAGACAGACATGGAGAAAAAAGTACCGGGTATAATAAATCATTTAATCATAAACCAGATTACCAATAGGCTCTCCAGGTCAAAGTATCATAACATCAGAATTCCAAGGCATGTGTGGAACCTCAGGAGACATCAGTGAGTGGGTTGCAAGAAAGTATAAATAAACAAACTCCTAGGATGACTAGTCCCAGAAGGAGGAGTAGAGAAACCCATGAATATCATGGCAGCTGGAAGACAGTAGGAGGAGAAATCTCATTGAATGGTAAGAACATTTGTTGTACAAGTGTGCACCACATATCTTCTTGCCTTTCTAGGATGTATGGCAACATTAGGAAATGTCAGTGTTGGAATGTAAACCAAAATTGTGCAAGGAGGATATCCTGTGGTGAGAGATGCCTCCAAAAAATACCTTTTGATGGAGATTGATTGAAATGTTTATAGCACATTCTTGATTGAAATGTTTATCGCTCGTTCTGGCAACAGAGGCCTGAGGAAAGGACCATTGCTTTGTGTGCAGAAGGTCGGAGGTATAATCCCTGGCATCTCCAGGTAGGTCTGTTAAAGACTGCTATCTGAAAACCAGGAAAGACACTACCAGGCATAGACAATTCTGAACTAGATGGACCAACGGTCTGACTCAGTAAAAGGTAGCTTCCTAAATTCCTATATACTCATAAACTTAGAAGTCTTGCTAAGCTCACTTTTAATCAGGAGTCAAATACACAGTATCAAACCCTGGGAAATTATGTTGTAGGAAACAAAAAATCACAAAGTCAAAAAACCTATGCAAATGTCTAAAAATACAAAATTATTACTTCTTACTCTACATTATAAGGCTGTCATAATGCATCATGACTACAGAACAGCAAGCAAGAAAAAAACAACCACCCAAGTAGTGGGGGGGGGGGCAGCCCGCCCATGTGAGCTGTTTAAAGGAGAGTGGGAGGTTTTGCAGACCACACTCTGAAGTGTGTGCATCACTCCTTAAAAAGAGGGATTGGAAGAGCTGTGAGGACAGGGATTGGGGTGAGCTGTGAGAGAGTAGGCAAGGGGATGGGTGGTGTGTAAAGTGAAGGGGTTGTTTGGGTGTAAACTGAGAAGCGGGGTTGGCCTGGTGTCGGGAAAGGGGAGGTGGCAAAGGGGTTAGTAGGTAAGCAGGGTGGGTGGTATTCTTGCTAAAAAGTTTAAGTTTAAAGTATTATTTAAATGCCTTTTTTCCAGACAGTGACTTGTGCTTCCTTCAATTAAAGTGGTTATAATAACAATAATTGATCTTGATTCTTAGCAGATTCCAGCTTTGTTATTCATTGTGTACAGTAAATATTGCAGCAGTGGATTTTGCTGAGAATGACGGGATTATTCCATCTGGCAAGAGATCACTTCTAATTATTATACACATTATTCATAGTGTTGCGCCTCAGGCTGCACGTCATGTCTTCATAGACCATATTTTGTGTTTCTCCTGCCTTTCCTTTGTTGCAGCATTTCTTGATCTGTTAAAGGGGGACAAAGCAGGCAGCAATTAATATGCATTGCTCACAAGGATCCATCCCAAAGGGCTGGAGCCAATACTGATAAGGGGAGGGATGGGTAGGCATGTGTTGATCTGATACCCAGTGTGTTGGAAAAAAATAGGGTATAGAAAAAGAGAGCTTTGGCCTCTTCTATGCCCAAGCAGTGATACAGATCACTGCTATAGCAGCTTGAAGACATCTGTGCCAGTCTGGAGAAGCCTGGTTCAACTGACAAAGACTTTGAAACAATAGCACTAGGCAACTCACACCTAAAAGTAAAGGTAAAGGGACCCATGACCGTTAGGTCCAGTCGTGACCGACTCTGGGGTTGCGGTGCTCATCTTGCTTTACTGGCCGAGGGAGCTGGCGTACAGCTTCCGGGTCATGTGGCCAGCATGACTAAGCCGCTTCTGGAGAACCAGAACACCTGAAAGTATTTTGCTGCAATTATAATGGAAGCAAAATTTATCACCGGATTGTGATACATTAGCACTTGGAAGCAGGGGCAGTAGGTGTTGCTCCCTAGCTCACTGGGAGGCCAAATACTTTGCTAAATTGCAGAAGGTCCTTGGTCCCATCCTCAGCATCTCCAGGTAGGTTTGGAAAGGACCACCATCTGAAACTCCGGAGAGCTGCTGCCAGCTAGTGTAGGCAAAACTGAACTAGATGGACCAATGGTCTGACTCAGTATAAGGCAGAATGAGTTTGCGGGGAAAACTCAGGAATGCAACAGTTTAGGATGAATGTTATCTATGTGTTCTGAGATACAGGGCTTCTCCACACTTCCTCTTATCCTGCTGCCTTCCTCTGGGGAAAATCGTGCTAGGAACAAACAGCAATTCAGATTTTCACCAGATTGATGTTTGCTCCAACTGAGAGCTGAAGAGTTGGGTTTCCCTGGGAAAGGAGCAGGCAAGGGGAGAACCACTTGGATCCATGTCTAGAAAGCGTGGATCAAGCAGAAAACTACTCGGAAAAGCCCACGCTGTTGTGGTTGGCATCAATTCTAGGGGGAGAAAAGCTATCATGGGAGCACCTATCTTTTAGGTAAAGTCATCACTGGTATTACTCAGCTTTAATTATTGCAGAAGAAAAGCCATTAGTGTGCTTGTCTATTCTTTTAAATTGGGATAATTCTGCATACTCAGTATGTCAACATGCTTTGATGTAGTTTTGAATCTTCAGTCTATTTCTTTTCTCTTCAGCACTGAGATTGCATGAGCCCATTCAATCCTGAAATAACTATGATACTGAGTCCAAGAGACCTTCTCATTCATACAGATCCATGAAGAAGCACATTATTATGCCAACAATTTAGCAAATTATGGGGAAGGGGAGAGAGATTCTGATGCTATATACTTGGGAATATTTCCTCAGTGAGGTGCAAATCTTTTAGGAGGAAGACTGATGGAACTCAGCTAACATAAAGGAAAGTGTTAGTCATACTCACATCTATATGAGATAGGATAAAATATCCCAGTCCAACAAGCAAGAGCAGTGACATGAAGATAAGGATATATGGCACCCAGAGAAATGAAGGACACTCTGTTAGCTTCATAGCTGAGGTCTCTTTAGAGATAGAAAGAGAGGAACATGTTTGTTACTTTCCATACAAGCCCATGGTGAAGAAGAGCAAATCAGGAACCAATTGCTATGCTGGGGCTGTGGATGTAAGTTTTGCCATTTACAAGTTTTTCTCCAAACATGCCCTAAGATATAAATGCCTATCATGAACAGAAGAATTAATGTTTGCTTAATTACCATTATCTGTACTGTCCTTAAAGAGTTAAAGGCATCGTCCAGAAGAAGGAGACTCCCTGAATTCTGCCTCATCTCTGTCTCCTGGCCCCCCTCCTCCCCTGTCTCTGAGTTTGGGCTGCCATCTGCCACAGCCTCTTCCTGCTCACTAAACCCTGTTGCTTCTTCAGCTTCTGACACCTCCTTCTCCCAGCCTGCTCCCACTTCTCCCTCTGACCACTCATTGTCCATCCCGTCCACCCACCAATCCCCTGCCTCTGAGCCTGCTCCCACTGAGGGTTCCCTTGGGGATTCCCCAGTTGGTGCCTCCCAGCACTCCTCTGCATCCAGCCAGTCCATGACAACTTACTGCACTGATGGTATGAGTTAGTTGTGCATACAGTGGTACCTTGGGTTACATACGCTTCAGGTTACAGACTCCACTAACCCAGAAATAGTACCTCGGGTTAAGAACTTTGCTTCAGGATGAGAACAGAAATCGTGCTCCGGCAGCGCGGCAGCAGCAGGAGGCCCCATTAGCTAAAGTGGTGCTTCAGGTTAAGAACAGTTTCAGGTTAAGAACGGACCTGCAGAACGAATTAAGCATTTAACCCAAGGTACCACTGTATATACATGCACAGACACATTTTGCTAGATACTTGTCTTTCTCTTTGTAGCCAACAAATTGAGCTGCCATTCCCTCTAACTGTTGAAGTAATGATTGTTCCTGACCCACCTTTCACTGCCAAGATGATAGTGCTGAAATTCATTATCCTGGGCTCCTGGTTAATTATCAGGGTGCCACCACACAAATACCCATCACTGTCATTCTTCTTCACATGCTTCAGCATTATCGTCGATGCGTTCTTCAGCTCAAAGTACTCCATGCGATATGCATATTCAGGAGCTTTGGTGATGTATAGACTCTGCTTTTTCACATATAGCACATCCATGGCTTTCACAAGTGTCCGTCTCAAACGCAGCCCCGACATCGCCAGTTGGTCAAACTTGCAAGTAATATTGACAGTCTCCCCTTCCTCAGCAGTGATAACTATTAGCTCTGGTTTGTTTTCTGTGACTTAAAGAAAAAAAGGGGGGGAGGGACAGGCATACAGGACAGGTGAGACTCTGAAGATATTGGCCGTATTGCTATGAAATAATGGGACTTACCTATACACTTGCACAATTGACTTCAGTGGGTTTTAAGAAGGATGGATTGCACCAGGTTTCAAATGCTGAAACCAGCAGGAGCTGAGAGTGGATACAATCAATTCACTTTCTGAAATGGTGGAAGCCCTTTCACTCTTGAGTAGGAATGGACAGCACAGTCAATTTCAGTGACTCCCAGTTTCTTAGCTCCCCGGTCTTTAGTTCAGTTTGCCACATTTCTGCATCATTTGCATTCTTTCAGAAAGCAAGTCCTCATGAAAATACGTCTACATTTTAGGGTGCATTTCTCCTAAGAGACATGTTTTTGTATGTTCTTTTCCCCGGCTTGTATATTTCTGCAGTGTATTTTGTTATTTTCCTTAGTGCATGCATTTTAATGCATGTTTTCCTAATAAAGAAATTTCTTCAGAAACATTTTGGTTAGAGAACTGTGTTGCAAAATTTGGAAATGCAAATTCCAAAGGATACCGGTGTTTCAGTTTGTGCACTGTTTTGAGAAGCAAGGCTTCCTTGAGAGATAAAGGGGATACATATTCTTCCAGAATGTGCTACCGCTTCTGGGAATTCAGCACTCACACCGCAACTAGTTCCTGGAGAAATCAGATTTTCCTCATTAGCACCAACATGCTTTTGAGTTTTAGATATGAATGTGCTTGTCTGCAGTTCTCTGTAGCCCCTGAAATATCACTGTTTGCAGGAGACATATACAGCACAGGGATGTTAAATTTTTTTAAAATAAAAAAATGCTTGTTATTGTTTTAGCATTTTTCTGGGTGTGTGTTCTAATGTATTGGGCAATGAGTTATCTGCTGCATGTGACCTTTAAGAGAAAATAATGGAGAATTTGAGCAAGAGAACCACCACCACCCCTCCAGAAGAAATGCCTACAACTTGAGATTATCATTTTATTTAGTTTCTTCACCCTGGAAGACTGTCTCTACCACGCACGCACACAGCACTGAAGAATGTCCCTTCCAGTTTTATTTGTTTGCCTGCTTAAAGGTATGAGCATGTTTTCTTTGTCCAGTCTCTCTGTAGTAAGACTGATCCCCCACATGGAAATTTAGGAAGCTTTGTTATACTGAATCAGACCACTGAGACATCTAGTGAAATATTGTCTATATAAGTGTGGTCCAATTTTTCATACTAATTGGGACGCAAGAGTACTTAAGCACAGAACCTGCGGCCCACACACTGAATTAAATTTCCATATCATGAATTAAAGTGTTCACAATATGTTTAATATCATTTAATATACACAATATATTTAATTAAATATATATAATTAAATACACAATTAATATATTTAATTGATTTAATTATTAAACAAATTTAATGTATGCACTTTTGTTAGCAACCCATGACACAAATGATAATTTTTTAAGATCTTAAGATTATTATTCTTGAATCTGGCGGGAAGGCCACAGGTTGAACCACCTTAGTCTACACCAGGGGTAGTCAACCTTTTTCTACCTACTGCCCACTAATGCATCTTTCTTGATGGTAAAATTTCCTTACCGCCCACCAGTGCTCGATGGAAGGAGGATTCAGCTTGTGCTGTAGAACCCCCTGCTGCCCACCTACAATTCTGAAACACCTGCTAGTGGGGGGTAGGGACTAGCTTGACAACCCCTGGTCTACAATGACTCACAATGACTTTCCAGGGTTTCTTAGCCCTATCTGGAGATGCCAGGGATTCACACTGGCCAATTTCATGCACAATGCCTAGCCATGGTTTGTTTAACAAAGTTAAGCACAGTTGACAAATAAACCATGCATTGTTTCTTTAAAGCTTGTTTTGTTTTACAGCTGCTCTTCCCTTTGTTGTTTGGTGAGTGTCTGGAGTGTAGTGGTCAAACAAACCATGGTTTACAAAGCGTGCCGAGTTCATATATACCATCAAATCAAGGTTCATAAGCCAACAACAAACCATGGTTTCAGACTGCGGTTTGCTGGCAGTAAGCAAACATAGCCAATCCACCGAAAAGGGTTCACACATAATTCTAAGCCATTAGTAAACCATGGTTTAGTGGTATGTAGAAACCGGAGCACTGTTGCTGCAGTGTTTTCTAAAGACACTCACTTTCATTGCAGAAAACTTACATTTCTCAGCATCTACCCCATAACATTATGTTAATTGGAAAATGCAAAGTTTCTGACAACTGTCATCCACCCACCCAGCCTACTGTCACAGAGAAGCCTACCAGAGCCCATCATCAACCATATTCAGATACAGCCAAAATCATTTAGTTTAGATAACTTTTTTTGCATAGACATGAGGATCTGCTTTCTGCTGTTTTTATTTGAATATTTGATATCTTTTGCTATCTCCCCCCCCCATTGAGAACTCAACATTTATGGAGGGGGAAATTAGGCATGATGAGGACTAGTTCTCAGAGAGCTTTGAGTAGAGTTCAGTATCTTAATCTTTTATATATAAATTTAGCTTAAACCACCATGTAGCCACTAATTCTATTCATACACTCAGGTTTCAAAATTAATAAGAGACTTTTAATGTTGCCTGCAGCAGTATTTTTCTTTTCTGCAGACACAAACAGTGTTTTGTTCACTGGCTGTGCAGCAGGCAGGCAGGCACGCGCACACACACTCACTCACTCACACACACACACCCCAAGCAAAAATCCCTGTCAAATGCCATGTTAATTGACCCTAGCTCAGTCATTTGATCTCAAAAGAGGGTCAAACTGCACTTTACCTTCTACACACTTTTCAGAAAGCATTGTAAACTGGCTCCTATTTTGAGAAAAAGCAGCTATATGACCCTGATCTGGAATCTGATCCACATCAAATCCTGCAACAGCTTACGAGCAACACCACCTTTGAGTGCAAAATAGCAGCTGGGGCGGGGTGAGGTTTCTTAGTAGGAAATTATTAACATGTAAATTCACTGTAAATGGCATCATGTATGCAGGGAAACATTTGGACCATGTAGATTATGATTTCCCAAATACAAAAATCTTCAAAAACGTAAAGATCTCAAAATGGGAATTTCAAATTTGATATACATTTTGGGGTTCATGGGACTTTCAACTGGGGTGGGTGGGGGATAATGTTATTTTTCAAGAGTTCAGAGACACGAGCAGTTTCTACTTGTATGATTTTAACAGCTATGATGGCTATTTAGGCAAAAGGGAGCCTCTGAAGCAAACTACTAAATGGTGTCCCTTTGCCCACCAGAGAAGAAGGGGTGAAGATCTACATCAAAAATGAGGGTGGGGAGAGAAGGAACCACATTGGGATCTCCTGCCCCTGTGAATCCTGCTGCCTTAGGCAATCACTTTACCTGGCTTCATGGGTCAGCCAGCCCTGCTCTGAGTTCACTTCAAGACAACTTGTTTATTGAGCATTCACCTTAATAGTTTTTCAAAAAGTTTGCAATCTGATTGTATTTTTGAGCATTTGTTCTGTTTGTGGAGAGGTTAGAGAACATTGCATCAAGCAAACATTATGCCACACTTCCTAGTGCATTTCTCCATCACCTTCCTCAGCAAAAGGTCTGGAGGTTTGTTTGTTTTTCTTAGCAGGGGGAGCACAAGAGCTCCAAATCAAATCTAATTGCACAACCTGAATTTGCTGGTATGTGACTGAATCCCATCTGAAAATAGCAACAGTCTAGAAACGCCCCAAGAAACAGTAGAATGTTATTGGTAGAACCCTAGTTGCAGAAATGGGGAGGGGGAGGACTTTAGGGGGGAAATTAAGGAGGCAACCCCTCCCCTCCCTGCCACAGATGCAGCAAAGTCAGAAAAAATAGTAATTTTCTTATGCTTACCATCGGAGGCTGATGTTCCATGGGAAAGCAGGAAGAGAACATGCATGGCAAGCACCCAATTGGGCATTTTGCAGAATGACTCTCTTAAAACTCTGCAGCAGAACTGGCTTGTCGCTGAAGTGACTGAACTGATTCTGAACTGAAAACACAGCAACCCTGAGGACTGATGTTAACCACAGCACAAGTCACATGGGACATGTTGAGCTCGTAAGTGTGATGGGTATGTGGGTAAGAAAATAAATAGATAATGAAACATTTTCAAGGCTCGGGGTTCAGAATTGTTTGTGCTTTATATGTCTGGGGTGCTGCAAGTCTCATGTTTTTCCAAAGGCAAAGCTTTTGTACACAGCTGTTCAAGTAGACCAGCACCCAGCCACAATAGTGCATATATTAGATGCTATAGGAAGTAGGGAGGCCAGATGCAAAAGAAGACAGGCTCCCATAGTGCACCTGTTGTGTAGAAAAGAGGGGTTTCAGCAGGTGTAGCTGGCATAAGCTGTACCTAGTACAATTCCCTTTTCTACACAGCAGAGCCCTGTTCTCTTTTGCATCTGAAAGGGATGCAGTGAGTTACAAGTAACATACAGTAATTGGGGCCCCACTAGACACCACCTCAGAGCAGGGTAACATGTGCAGTGCTTGCTCTGCTCTCACCGCCATCTGTTACTGGACCTGTTGTTCTCCTGAATAGCTTATAAGATGGAGGAGCTAGAGTTAGAGCTATTTATTATGGATGCTATGTGAGATGGAGTCTGTGCCTCTCTCATGTGGTCAGGCTGGTGCTCCTAGATGTTGTCTCCTTACACTATCCCCCAACCCAGGACAAAATGTCCCCTCTCTGTCCCAGCAGCTCTGCTTCCAGGGCACCATGCTGCCAGCCAAAAATGGAAAAAAATAGTAATTCTGTTTGTTAATCTGTGGGGATTCGATCATGCACAATTGCCACAGAATGGAACTCTCACTAACATAAGCTAACAAGAGAGACATTTCTTCTTCTTTTTTCTTTCAGAAGCAAGGAGCAAGCTTGCCATCACTCTGCTCCAATTACAGTGGTACCTCAGGTTAAGTACTTAATTTGTTCCAGAGGTCCGTTCTTAACCTCAAACTGTTCTTAACCTGAAGCACCACTTTATCTAATCGGGCCTCCTGCTGCCGCCATGCCGCCAGAGCATGATTTCTGTTCTCATCCTGAAGCAAAGTTCTTAACCTGAAGCACTATTTCTGGGTTAGCAGAGTCTGTAACCTGAAGCGTATGTAACCTGAAGCGTATGTATCCCGAGGTACCACTGTAATTTGAAAATTAACCAAAGTTATGAAAATAAACTTTTAAAAGCACACATAGCTCCTTTCCCCCAATCCTCAGATATAGCCACTATTCATATCAGGTGGGAGGGGTGAGTTATGTGCGTCTAACAAACTCTTTATTCTACCCCTCCTCCTTCCTCTTCACAAAGGAATGTACAGTTGTCCTTTGCTGTATTAGCTAACATGGGGACTGAAATGAGGGTGCTGTGAAGGCTAAATTCAAAGATGGTGAGTGGAGCTGGCAGGGAGAGGCAGGAGGAGGCAGAAGTTTTTTCCACAGCTTGGATTTTAATCTGAGCCAGTGAAGAACTCATTGGATTATAAAGATTTCCTCTTCTTGTGGAGTTCCCAGAGCTTGTATAGGAGCCCAAGTTAAGTAAACATTGCTACCACCCCAGGTTTTAAATCAGAGATAAAACCAGAGCAATTGACTGGTCCCATAAATGAAAATTAAAATGAGATTGCCATTCTGTTCCATGGGGCTTCACTCCTAAATTTGCAGCCTTAGTGTGGCTGAAACCAAAACTGACCAATAGTTGTATAGTTGGCTGTGCCACTTCTCAGCTACTTTGCTAAGACACTCCTTTCAGGAGCTGGTAGACTAAGCTGGGGGCAGTTCTGGGGGCAGGGGGAGTCTACTAAAATAGTTCAGTAGTATTATTCTTCCACAGTTCAAGTATTTTTATTTGAAGACACACACACTCAAAAAAGTAATAATCACAAGGCCTCTTCAAATGAGTACAGTAAATATATTCTTAAAAAATAAAGACAAAACAATAACACTTACTATATATACACACACATACAGTGTATATACTCGAGTATAAGCCGACCCAAATATAAGCTGAGGCACGCACCTTTTGGGCCGCTCGTCCCTCCGCCGCCTGCCTCACTCGAGTATAAGCCAAGGGGGGCTTTTCCAGCATAAAAAATGTGCTGAAAAAGTCGGCTTATACTTGAGTATATACGGTGTCTATCTATCATCTATCTATCTATCTATCTATCATCTATCATCTATCATCTATCATCTATCATCTATCTATCTATCATCTATCTATCTATCATCTATCTATCTATCTATCTATCTATCTATCTATCTAATCTATCTATCTGTTATTTGCACCTTTAGATCACAATTCTGACACATGATTTGTCCAAGGCTTTTCAGAAGGTATTTAACAAAGGTGAGATTTGAATGCAGATGACTATACTGTTGCTGCCACATTAATATACCTAGTCTGCTGCAACTATTACAGAGAGGACTATCTACAGATGCTATATAAAGGAGTGCTGCAGGAAAACAACCCTGTTCAAAACCTGAAGAAAGATGCATTGTATTATGCTGGAGAAAGAAGTGGAATCCAAACAGCAGACTGCTTCTTTCACGTGAAAGGCAAGTCTTTCTTGACTAATAAGACACTAAAATGGCTTAGAGATGTCGTAAGATGGGCTTGCAGAGCAGAAGTCCCTTGCCTTCGCAATCTGAATTGCAGAGTCCCACAGTGTTACAGTTTTCCATGTGTTTCTTGATCCAGTCACTGCATTTGCTTCAATTTGGTTTGTCACTGACATTCCTATATCATCTCTAGGAGAAAGAAAGAATAATGATGACAGCAAGAATGCCACTGATTGCAATGAACTAAGAAATCATTCGCCTATCAGCATAATATATAAAATATTTTTCTATGACATGCCAATGTTGAAAAGGCCAGAGGAATGTATACACCTTTCTTCTGTGTTATTAACTGCAGTACTAACTAGCAGACTTAATAGATATTTACCTTCAGATAGGAAAAGCCGCTGGAGATATTTATTCCTTATTGCACCTGAGGAATGACAAAACAAAGGCAAATCAGATGGGAGGAGAGGAAGAATTATGTATTTTTCTGTCAACTTTTACCCCATCCATTCCACTCTTTAGAAAATAAGGCATCTATGTCCTGGTAGCCGCTGTTTATATACTTTGCTGAAACTTCATCTAAACTATTGTAAAAGCTGTTAAACATTTTCACTCAAAGCCAAGTTGTGGACTCTTCACAGAAATGTGGTTTGTGTTGCCTTTTCGCTGCACATATGCATAATTCTTGGCTTGAACTCCATGATGGTGAAAACGCTTTATGTGGCTGTAACAAGTCACAATGCTCACAGTTTCTCTGGCATTTTATTAGTTTCACTTCAAATATAGAATTTTTGCAGGTGAATTTTTTAAAAAATAGTTGAATCCAAAAGAAAAACAAATGTTGTGGTCAGGGGGAAAGCAATGCACCCAAGCACTCTACTACCCACCCCATGGCTCCCCCAGCCAGAGTCTAGACACCCACGCCATAAGAGCAGTAAAACCGGGTGTTCTTGTTTATCTTTGAACTCTGGATATCACTGATTCAGGTGGACTTGTGTATTCAGGTGAAGTCGAACCCTTGGAGAGGGGGACCTTCTCTGTCCTCCCGCAAACTCCTGCGCATGCATCTACAAAACAGCAAGCACGTTTTGCCTTTGTAGTGATTTCATCATGGCAGCAAAAAGTTCTCCAGCCTAAACTCTGCAGTAGGACAGCCACCCAGCTCAAGGCTCAACGAGGAATGCCTACCTTCGCACCACCCCAGCCCAGGCCCACTTCACACTGGAAGAGTTTCATCTTGAGGCAGACTTGGGGTGCATGGCTGGACTGTGTGGTAGCTCCTCTGGATTCAAGCTGAAGAAATTTAAATGCTACACCGAGCGTCATCTGGTGCCTGGGTAGGCTTATTATAGGCAAAACTGAAGTGTTGAGTCCCAAAGATTGCGGGGGAACAATTATTCTAATAAGTAAATTATATGCTCCACGCAGATCTTTCTTGTAATACACACACAAACAAACACACACATGTACATAAGCTCCCTGGAGACGTTTCCTCCCCCATATGTTTCCAAATGATATCCTGGGAAGAAAAACATGAATCCCCAGCCAATTCTTATAAAAACTGACCTTTCTTCTTTCTGCAATGAAAAAATGTAACAGCACAAATGGCTGCCAGGATAACAACGATGAAAACTGGAATTAATATTTTCTTTTCTGCATCTTGTGATACTTTATTGGTAGTTGTTTCATTTCCAACATGAACAAGAGCAGAACCTGTACAGGAGGGGAAGAGAAAAAAAGCAACATCTGGAGTGAATTGTATCTTTGGACACAACTGACTATGACAATGTGCAAATACTCAAGTCTCAGGTACAATCAAGCCACCAGTAGCTCAAAAAAGTGAGGAAGCTACAAATAATCATAAAACCACTGCCAACATCCCTTTCCTCAGCTCCACTCCTCCATCATGAATCTGTCAGTGGAAGTCGCTCCTATAAAACCTCCATGTTCTGGGGCAGTACACCCCTGAATACCAGATGCAGGAGACAGATCAGAGGGAAAGGCTGTGGTCCTTGGATCCTGCTTGGAAGATTCCTGGAGATGTGCAAATGGCAGACCCTCCAAGTGTCCCTATTTTCCGGGGATAGTCCTGGATTTATAGAAGTCATCCGAGTTTCTGATTTGATCTCAGAATGTCCCACTTTCCTTACAACGTCCCTATTTTCATTGGGGAAATGTTGGAGGGTATGGAGTTATCCAACCCCTGAGCCAAGGAGATAAGTAACTATACAACCTTTAGAAGACATCTCATTAAACCACAGGGAAGTTGTTTAATGTTTATATAACTTGGAATCTGCTCTGTGTGGCTGGGGCAACCCAGTCAGAAGGGCGGGGTATAAATAATAAAATGATGATGGTGGTGGTGATGATGATGTTGGAATAGTACGTCCCTATTTTCATCTGAAAAATGTTGGAGGGTATGAAATGATTACTGCAAGGAGCAGTGTTGGATTAGCTCGAAATAAGTGACTAGCTAAGGCTACAAACTCAGGGCACTTGGAGACCACTGCTATTTTGGGTAGGATTCAATCATATACCAGATTGTTGTGAACACATTTGCCCCAAGTAGAGAAACACAGCATGAGTTAGGAAGCAGTCAAAGAACTGGGAGCAGCCCCCTCCCCCTCCTCCTGACAAGGAATGGAATGTAGATAAGGTGTTAGCA